AAAAGTTTAGATTGCATTAGTTTCCAAGGCTTACTCGCCGAGGGAAACACAAGGCAGTGAAGTTGTTGGCGTTCTCAGTTTTCGAAGCTAACAAAGTAAAGAGTTTGCCAGGGATTGTCGGTACGATGGACACTGTCTGGAAAGTTCTCCTCTGGGGCTTAGAGGCGTCATTCAATGGTCGATTCCCAAACGCAGATGAAAATGGAATCCCTTATCCGTGTGGCAGCAGCGATTCCATGGTGAGTGGCAGACGTTTGTGCTCAGATGACGAACCGTACTTTGCAGTGTTGTGGTCGATAACTGGAGATTTAGATTGGCACGCGAAGTGCTTGGGGCTAAACAATTACAATGCTGACGCCCCTTGTGGGCAATGCCCCTGTGGCAAAAAGAAACCAAAAACCATGTGGCCGACAAACTGCATCAAACATTCGGCGTGGAAAAACATGCTGCGCACACGGGACGAATGGGTTGCAACTGGTTTCTGCACGCATCCACTGTTCACGACGTTCGATTACATCTCGATGTTGAACGTGGAAATAGACGAGCTGCACATATTATATTTAGGGGTTTGTCAATATTTCATCGGTTCAATTCTTTGGATTTTGTGTTTTACAATTTTGTCTGACAGTCCCCCAGAAGCGGCGATCGATGTTGTGTGGGGGGAGATACTCAAACATTATAAGTTGCAGAATACTCCAGTCCAATACACAGCAATGTCACTCTCGTTCTTCATACCACAAAATAAACGCAGCGAAGCATACCCTCGCCTCAAGGGCAGGGGGGCAGAAGTAAAAGGCATCGCTGGTCCACTGATACAGGTGTGGGCTACATTTTCCAGGGGTACGCCCCATGACAATAGAGTTGCGCGTGCGTTAGAGTCTTTGTCAGAAATGCAGGTGACGCTGGATGACTACAAGTCCGATTTGTTGTGGCCTGCCAGAGTTTCAAGTGAGTTCATGGATCTCACTGAGCGTTTCTTTGCAGACTATTCTTACTTGGGTGCGCAGGCTGACATCCGCTCAGAGACATTGTTTTCAACAGTCCCAAAGCTACACTTTTTATGACACCTGGCGTACAGGTCCAAGTTCATGAACCCTCGGCGAGTTGCGACCTTCATGGGGGGGGATTTTGTGAAGGTGTGTAAAGGTATCGCAGCCCGTTGCACTGCTGGCACACAATTGCATGACGTGCCCGCCAAGATGATGGACAAACACAGATGGGGAGTTTTTCTGGAGTCGATCACAGACCGACCGTCATAGTAAAAACAAGCATGAGAACAACAAAAAACAACAACGAAACAAACAAACGCGTGTCAAACACAATAAACAAAAACAAAACACACAACAAAGAACCCCAGAGGCCTCCAGAGTCCCCCAAGGTCCTCCAGAGCAATCCAATCCTCCAGAGGCCTCCAGAGTCCCCCAGAGGCGGCCATGTTTTTAATGTGTCCCCGTCCAAGGCAAATAAAAGTCCCCATATAACTATAGCACGCAGAAAGCACACAAACACCCCAAACTCGCGACGCGATCGACCACAACTTCGAGGCACCCGCCGCCCGCGCCAGGGGGAGGAGGAGGAAGAGGAGGAGGAGGAGGAGGAGGAGGAGGAAGAGGAGGAACGATGATGATGAGGAGGAGGAGGAGGAGGGGGAAGAGGTCGCTGAGAATGCGCAACATGGTTCTAATCACGTTGAAACATGTTGGGAGAGGAGGAGGAGAAGGAGGAGAGGGAAAGAGGAGGGGAGGAGGAGGGGAAGAGGGGGAGGAGGAGAAGGAGGAGCAGGTGGGAAAGGAGGAGGAGGAGGAGGAGCAGGGGGAGGAGGAGGAGGAAGGGGAGGCGGAGAAGGAGGTCGCTGAGAATGCGCACCATGATTCCAATCACTTTGAAACATGTTGGGTGTGGAGGTGGAGAAGGAGGGGGACGAGGGGGGGGGGAGGAGGAGGAGGAGGAGGAGGAGGAGGAGGAGGAGGAGGAGGAGGAGGAGGAGGAGGAGGAGGAGGAGGAGGAGGAGAGAGGCGGAGGAGGAGGGGTGAGAGGGGGGCCGACGGCGCCCATTGTGTTTCTTATGGCAGGGGTACACATTCCAACTACCAGGCGGCGCTTGCTCATCCTGCACAGAGATCGCGGCCCTCGAGATTGTCGGTCCTGTTTGTTGTCGGTCGGGTCCCTCGGTCGGCTCTGTCTGGGGTGCTGGGTTTTCCCGTCCCTCGCTCCCTTTTCGGCCCTTCGGGCCCTTCGGTCGATCGTCGTTCTTGTCGTCAGCCCACGAGCGAATCAACTCTTCCCCTTCCTCCCTCTTCCCTCCCCCTCATCCCCCCTCCGTCCCTCCTCCTCCTCCTCCTCCTCCTCCTCCTCCTCCTCCTCCCTTTCCTCCTCCCTCCCCTCCTCCCTCCTCCCCCCTCCCTCCTCCCTCCCTCCTCCTCCTCCTCCTCTTTTGCCATTAGGCTCACACCTTGAGCTGGGTTGCACAGGCGCCTTATGGAGGTTCCCATGGAGGTTCCAGTGCAGATCCCGATGGCACTTCCTAGGGGGATCCCTATGGTGATTCCCATGGAGATTCCTCTGGGGATTCCTATGGCGTTTCCGATGGAGTGTCCCATGGATATTCCTGTGTATATCCCGATGGAGATTCCGATGGATATTATTGCTGCGATTCCTATGGAGATTCCCATGGAAATTCCTAGGGATATCCCTACATATGGAGATTATTGTGGGGATTCCAATGGAGATTCCTTTGGAATCCCCAATGGAAAATCTCATAATGCGGGCCGACGACGCAGGATCTGACCATTCGGTGCCCTCAGATTTCTAAAGAAAAGTTAAGGTTATGGGCGCGCACATAGCACATCACTTTCAGCCCTGAACTTTTCATGGGCACTGCCCATAGCGCTGCAGAGCTGATTTCATACAAGTGCTACGCGGGCTGAGCACAGTCGAGTGGGCTGGGGCGAACTAAGGGCAGACTAAGTGCAGGCAAACTAAAGGCAAACTAAGGGCAGACTATGTGCAGGCACTATTGGCGCTATGGGCAGCGCACATAAAAAGTTAAGGGCGGAAAATGATGTGCTATGTGCGCGCCCATAACCTTAACTTTTCTTTAGATTTCTGAGGGCACCGGATGGTCAGGGGGGGGGGGTTTTTGCTGGGAGTGAGGAGGGGGGAGGGGGGGGGGAGGGGTTCCGGCCCAGGGGGGGGGGGGGGGCCCCATTGGTTTTCGGAGGGGGGGGGGGGAGGCCGTTTCCGGAGGAAAAGGTTGGCAATTTTTTCACAGTACGCGGCGGTGGATCACGCTTCCTTCTCTCGAATTTTTCGAACCCCAAAGCACCGCCTTTGCTGAGATCAACATGATGGGGGGCGCGGGGGTTGTGATAGAATCTCTCGAATATGTTGTGAGGGTTCGAAATATATTGTCCATTCTACAGTCCATGGCAGTTTGTGTAGTTCTGCACATTAGCTCAAAGGGACCCTCATAAATCCCTAGATCCAGTTTGAATACATTTGAATGGAGAGAGCAAAAAGGATGAGGAGGATCAGGATCAGGATGAGGAGGAAGAGGAGGATGGGGATGAGGATGAGGATGCGGAGGACAAGAAACAGTAGTGAGAGACAGGAGGAATGAGAAGGATGAGGATGGGAGGTGGTGGGGAGGAGGATCAAGCGGTGGAGCGTGGAGGATTTCTAAGCAGGTGCGGGGGGAGTGAATCAGAGGAGGCAGGGACGGAGAGGCGATGGGAGGGGAAGAGAGGGCATGGGGAGGAGGGGAGGGGAGGGGAAGGGAACGGGGAGGGGAGGGGATCGGAGGGGGCCGAAAGAGGGATGGAAGGAGACGGTCCTGTGAAGGGCTGCCTTGGGCCGTCCTGGAGGCCTCGGAGGCCCCATGGATCCCCGGAGCTGCGGGAAGTTTGATTTTGCCTGCCCAGGGTTACATGTTGCTGTCGTCCCACCGTCCACAACAGACATCGGGTGCATTATCGAAAGCTGGAGACGGTCCTGTGGAGGGCTGCCTTGAGCCATCCTGAGGCCTCCGTGGCCCCATCGTTCCCCAGGTTGCGAACGGGTCGGTTTATTCCTACCCAGGGTGATATAGTCAGCGCATACACATGATTGCGATTTTTTCTCTGCACATGCTGTTCATTCGTTCGCCGTCCTTGGGTCCTGGGTTACCGCGCTCCCTTCATCGTCGCCATGGCAGATGGATAGGCGCTTGCTCGTGATATTGATGGGGGCGTTGTCTGGTAGGCTTTCAGGAAAGCAGCTGGCGAGGCAGCCAACAAGGCAGCCAACGAAGCAGCCTACGAGGCACCCAGCGAGGCGGCCAACGATGCCTCCGACGAGGCAGCCCGCGGGGCAGCCAACAAAAACAGCCGTCGAGGCAACTGGCGACAGCGAGGCGGCCAACGAGGTAGCCCACGAGGCACGAGGCAGCCAACGAGGTAGCCCACGAGGCAGCCAGCCAGGCAGCGAGGCGGTCGACAGGGCAGCCAGCAAGGCAACCAACGCGGCCACCGACACAGCACCCGGCAAGGCAACCAACGAGGCAGCCAACGAGACAACCAACGAGGCAGCCAACGAGACAGCCAACAAAGCAGCCAACGAGGCAGCCATCGAGGCAGCCAGCAAGGCAGCCAACAGGCAGCCGAGCAGGCAGGCCACCAGGAACCAGGCAGCCAACGATACAGCCACAGGGCAGCCGACGAAGCAGCAGCGAGGGGGGATCCCAAAATGGATCCCCCTTGCGCACCTGCGCGCGCATGTCGCGCAGATCTAGACCATTTTCACGGACAGAAGCCACCCGAACCTATGGCGCTACTAATGGAAAAAGGGCATCCGAGATATAGGATGCCCTCGCTCACTGGACTGCATCCATTTTCAGGATGCCCCCGTTGGAAGGATGACCGCAGCGCTTTCTGGACCGAGCGCATTTGGCCCGTCGTTGTCTCCACAGCCGGAGAATGTCGCCGAAATCCTTCACTCATGTATCTGCCGACGAGCACGTCGCAATGCGCCGCTTGCATGACAGCGGCATGGGCGTCAAGAGGATCGCCGCGGCCTTGAGCCGCTCCACGGACACCGTCTCGAAGCATTTGTTCAAAAAGAACACGACCAAGAAGTCCAAGGGCCGCCCGAAGCATTCCATCCGCACCCCCAAAGGGTTTCTCGCTGCCCAGCGCGCTTACAAGAAGCTGCTGAAGTCCTCGGGCGGCACAAAGGAAGTGACGGCAGCCATGCTGAAGTCCGAGATGAAGTTGAAATGCGACATCAAGACAGTGCGCCGCGCGTTTGCTGAGAATGGCTACCAGTTCCGCCCGCTGCACGAGAAGCCTGACCTTTCGGAGGGGGACAAGAAGGAGCGCCTGCAGTGGGCCCGCGAGCACAAGCACCGGAGCCCCAGCCAGTGGTCACAGTATGTCCACGCGTGCATGGACAAGAAGGTGTTCCAGGTGCTGCCCAATGCGAAGTACAGGAAGGTGGCGGCAAAGCGCAAGGTTCGCGGGGTGCACAGGAAGCGCAAGCGGGACTTCTCCGTGGGCCACGTCAAGCCGAGCAACCCTAAGGTTCTCGGGCTGGCGCAAATCGGAGACCGCGCCGAGGCCACTCAGCGCCAGGCCAGTGGCCGACGGCGCGCTCTGATTTGGCTCGCCCACAGGTTCTGAAGCAGAGTTCGGGCAAGGGCTCCGTGACCATCGCGTGCGCCATCGGCGCGGGCAAGGTGTTGATGTGGCACCACGTGGTCGGTAGGTGGAACGCCGCAGCCGCGGGGCGAATGCACTCGGGGGCGCTCCAGCCCGCTTTGAGGAGGGCCTACCCTTCCGTGCGCGGCAAGTTCGGCGCCATGGAAGACAACGACCCCACGGGCTACAAATCTCGCTCGGGCATGGCGCGAAGAAGTCCGCTGGCATCCAGACGTTGGACTTGCCGAAGCGGTCCCCTGATCTGATGCCGCTTGATTTCGCCTTCTGGGCCAATCTGAACAAGCGCATGAGGGGACAGGAGAAGACTGGCTCGCGAGCAAGACGGATACGCGGGCGCAGTACCTGGCCAGGCTGCGCCGCACGGCGTTGGCGACGCCGTCTGAGTACATCCACAGCATCATGGGCAGCCTGCACAAGCACTGCGGCTTGTTGGTCGAGGCGAAGGGCGGCCACTTCGCCGAGGGCGGTGGGAACTGAGCGCGCGCGCGGTTTCCTCGGGCGGCCGCGGCGCGATTCGCGGCGGGCCAGGGCGGCGGGCGACCGCGGCGCAGACCGCAGCGGGCCGGGGCGGCGGGCGGCCCGTAGCGGCCCGCGCCTCGGTTGACCCGCGCGAGCGACGTGGGGCGCGGGAAGGGAGCCTGTCGCGGTCCACGATCAAGACCAATCCGTGCGTCCACCGCCCTTGCGGCTACAGGGCCAGCAGACGTAGTCGAAAGTACCTGATCTTGGCATTCTGATTCTGTCCGCCGAGGCCCCCCAGGCGCCAGCGCCCTGGCGGCCCCAGAGAGCCCCTCGCACGAGACATGCAGCAAAAAACATAGTGAACCAACAGTGAACCAACAGTGAACCAACAGTGAACCAACAGTGAACCTTCGTAAAAACCATAGTGAACCTCGAATTCTATTAAAAATGAGTAGGGAACTTTTCTTTTTTTATAAAAATGGAGGTTCACTGCGAAATTTGGCATGGTTCACTGTTGGTTCACTGTTGGTTCACTGATGGTTCACTGTAGGTTCAGTATGGCTTTGATGCATGTTTGCACATGTCCAACAATGCCGCGCGAGCGGCATCCATGGGCAGGATCCGCCGACCCCGCCCAGAGGTGCAGGGGGTGCGCCAGGCGCGCCAAGTGCGCCGCGTGCGACAGGTGCGCGGCACGCGACAGGCGGGCCACGCGCGCCAGGTGAACGGGGCGCGCCCAAGTGCGACAGGTGCGCAGACGACGCCAGGTGCAACGAGCTCCCCAACTGAGCAGCCAGGCGGCGGTTTACAATGCCCCCGAAGACCCCGACGGTCCGCATTGCGTTTTTCTCTGTAGCCTGTCGGCTCAGCGGGGCGGGGGCTGGCCCTGGCCGTGTCGCGCCGGGGGATGGCGCTCTCGGTGGACAGGCCAGAGAAGCGCCGCAGGCTCGTGGGGACGCAGAGCCAGCAGACGGCGCTCCTCGAGCACGTCGTCGGCGAGGAGAACAGGAACGCCTCGCGGGAGGTCTACTTGGTGACTCTGCCGCACACGGACAAGGGGGGTCTCAGAGCGCCAGCGGCTTTCTCGCGGGAGGAGGTCCGCGACGCTTTCCTGGATTGCTGCGGCGCTCCGGACGCCGACCCCGCGTGGCTCGCAAGCCGCCGCGGGCAGGGGGCCGCGCCCGTCGGGGTCAAGAAGCTGGTGGCATTCAAAGAATACCACGCGCCAGTGGCAGGCGTCCGGCGGGCGCACTACCACGTGGCCTTGCACTTGGGCAAGAAGAGCAAGTTCCTGACCGTGAAGCGGGCCTTGCTCAACAGGTACCAACTCGCCTCTCACTGGTCCTGCAGCCACGACGGGTACTGGTCGGCCGTCGGGTACTGCGCGAACGCGACGCCCAAGAAGCCGCGGAGCGCCCTGGACGTTGACAACTTGGCTTGGCCCGCGGACCACCCGCCGCTGTCCGCGGCGAAGAGGGAGCCGACGACCGCCCGCGCCTTGGAGAAGCGCAGGACCGCGCGGGAGCAGGTCGAGGGCGAGAAGGGGAAGCCAGAGCCTCGCGTCGAGGAAGTGGACCTGTGGCCGATAGTGGTCAGGTCTGGGATCCGGAATACTCCAGACGACCCCCACGCAGTGCGCAAGTTGATGGCGTACGCTAAGACGTCCTGCTCGCACAAGGTGGTTGCCTGGATGTTCAAGAACGAGCACGTGCTGGAGAAGATCATCGACAAGGCCTGGGCGTGGGAGAACGTGGACAGCTTCCTCGACGACGCGACGAAACCCGTCATGCAACAGTTCAAGGAGGCCTTGCGGACGCCTTGCGTTTGCGGCGGCCGCTGGTTGCACCACGTCCGCGAAAGCCTGTCGATGAATCGCATCGACGTCCCCGACCTGTGCAGCAGCATCTTGATGTCCCTGCAGCACGGTCGGTCCGAGGCGGCCCCGGTGGTCACCTTGGCTGGGCGCTTCGGCGGAGAGGGGAAGTCTCTTCTCTTCTCGGCGGTTCGGCCGCTGTTCGGCGGTGGGCACGTGCAGGAGAGGCCAGGCGGGGGGCAGTTTTGCCTCCACGGCTTGGACAAGGCCAAGGCCGCGGTGCTGGACGAGTGGATGTTCATCGATGAGGACCTCCCCCTGTCCATCCAGCTCCTGTGGCTGGAGGGCAAGCCCGTGCCCATCACCATGCCCCAGAACCTGCACGTCGGGCACAAGGTGTACATGGGGTCCGCCCCGATTTTTGTCACCTGCCCCGAGACGGCGCTGGCGGGCCTCTCGTCCGAGTCGTCGCAGCGCCCGCAGGGGCAGGCTGGCATGCTGCTCCGGCGGCTGAAACTGTACTTATTCATTGCGTCGATTCCCAAGCCGCCGGCCCCGAAGCTAGTGCCGTGCCCGCGCTGTTTCTCGACCCTCGTCACGAGCGAGGCTCTTAAGTTCAAGCCCAAGTAGTTGTGCCGCGTGCGATTGGGGTCGCTGCGCGCAGACATCATCGCCATCATCGCCATCATCACTGTCGCCATTATCGTCGTTGCCACACCTCGTTGCCCCATCGGGAACTCCACGGAAGGCCCCGATGGCTGACTCCGCATGCCGCACCCCGACAATTTCGGCAGACCCCTAGAGCGTTGCGCGACCGCCACGGGCACGTCGTGCTTCTGGCCCGGCACGACTCCGACCGTCACCGTCGACGATGCCAGTGCTGTCGCCTCTGGGCCCGTCCGTCAGTCCGCGTGGAGCCTCTTTGGGGGTCGTCTTGGAGCCCCCGTGGATCTTCGTAAGGCCCCCCTGGAGGCCCTCTCGGGCGAGGTTTACGACAGAGGCCCCCCGCTGCATTCCGTTCAATTCCATTCACTCCCAACTCCTCCGCAGGCCCCCCACTCCTTCCCAGTCCTCGCCACTCCCCTGCAGTCGTCCGCACCCCACCGCACTCCGCCAACAAAAACTCCGAAACCTCTCATTCCTCCACGCCCCTCCGCACTCTTCCCAACTGCTCCACGCCCTTCCGCACTCCACCCGAAACCTCCGCAACCGCCCCACTCTCCCCCACCCCTCCGCAGTCCTCCCGAACCTTCCGCAACCGTCCCATTCCCCCAGACCCCTCCGCAGTCTTCCCGGAACCTCCGCAATCCTGCCATTCTTCTCACCCCTCCGCACTCTTCCCGAACATCCGCAACTCTCCCATTCCTCCACACCCCGCCGCATTCTTCCCAAAACCTCCGCAAGTCTCCCATTCCCCCACATCCCTCCGCACTCCTCCCGAAACCTCCAGAGCCCTTCGAATTCGTTCCGCCCCTCCGCACTCCTCCCGAACATCCGCGATCCGTCCCATTCCCCCCCACCCTGCGCACTCCTCCCAAACCTTCCGCAACCGTCCCTTCCCCAGGACCCTCCGCAGGTCTCCGGAACCACGCAGTCCTGCATTCTTCTCACCATTCCGCACTCTTCCGACATCGAGCCTCTCCCATTACTCACACCCGCCGCCTTCTTCCAACACCTCGCCAAGTCTCCATTCCCCCACATCCCTCCGCTACTCTCCGAAACTCGGAGCCATTCGAATTAGTTCCGCCCTCCGCACTCCTCCCGAACATCCGCGATCGTCCCATTCCCCCACCCTGCGACTACTCCCAATACCTTCAGCGAACGTCCAGTCCTCTTCAACACCCCTTCCGAACTCTGTTCCCGAAACCTTCCGCAATCTGCAGTCTCTTCCACCCCGCACTATTCCCGAATCGAAAACTCTTCAATCTCTACACATACCTCCGCATCCTCCAAAAATCCGCAACCCTCCCATTCCCCCACATCCCTCCGCACTCCTCCCGAAACCTCCGCAACCTTTTTATCATTCCACATCCCTCTGCACTCCTCCCAGACATCCGCACCTCCCCCATTCCTCCAGGCCCCTCCGCACTCCTCCCGAAACCTCCACAACCGTCCCATTACTCCACATCCGTCCGCACTCCCCCCGAAACCTCCGGAGCCCTTCCATGTCTCCCCACTCCCCCGCACTCCTCCCGGGACATCCGCACATATCCGCACCTCCCCCATTCCTCCACACCCCTCCGCACTCCTCCCGAAACTTCCGCAACCCTCCCATGCCTCCACATCCCCTCGCACTCCTCCCAAACCTTGTGAAACCGTCCCATTCCTCCCCACTTCTCCGCACACCTCCCGAAAGAGACCTCCGCAACCCTCCCATTCCTCCACGCCCTTCCGCACTCCTCCCGACACCTTCGCAACCCTTTCATCCTTCCACATCCCTCCGCACTCCTCCCAAACCTTCTGCAACCGCCCCATTCCTCCCCACCGCTTCCGCACTCCTCCCGAAAGAGATTTCCTCCACCATCCCATTCCTCCCCACCCATCCGCACTTCCCCCGAAACCTCCGCAACCCTCCCAGTCCTCCCCACGCCTCCGCACTCCTTCCTCACCTCCCACAACCGTCCCATTTCCCCTCAACCCTCCGCACTCCTCCCAATCCTGTGGGGTTCTCCCATTCCTCCAGACCCTTCCGCACTCCTCCTGAAACGTCTCACCCCTTGCCCCAGCGTCTTACGCCCAGGAGCGGAACCTCCATCTTCCTCCTATTCCTTCTCCTCGTTCTCCTCCCCCCTCCTCCCTCCTGTTCCTCATTCCTCCTTGAGGGTTGTGGGTGATGATGATGCTGCTGCTGATGATGCTGATACTGATGATGGTGATGATGGTGATGATGGTGATGATGATGATGATGATGATGATGATGATGATGATGATGATGATGATGATGATGATGATGATGATGATG